GATCCTTACGGTTTGTTTCATTCACCCAAAATTTCTTGAGAGCTACTCGGCCATGATACCCATGTTTTGCAGGTATTTCTAATTGTAAGGGTACATACTAATACTATACCTTGATTCCTATTCGTTCTAACTCACTAGCAAGCTTTGGTGCATTGGTTTTAGAATTTTTCTTGATTTCCCGTACAATAAATCGCTCATCCTTGTTGGTGAACGCCCGAGGACCACCACTTCGCGGTTTATTTTGGAAGGTTTTTGTTTTGCAGAAGTGATCAATAATTATGTTATTCTTATAATTAGGCAAGAACGGTTTCATTATTAAAATGAATAAAATAACAATAAAGTATGATTAGGATCATCGGATATAGAGTATTTTCATTCTTTAGGGTTGTTAAAATAATTACGCTATGGAAATCTCAACATACCAGCACAAACTATGGTTTTTTACAGTGTAATTTCCATGAAGTCTAGATTTTTAGGGGGTTACCAATTTGAAAAGTCACCCAAACGAGAGGTAAGACAACGAGATATCGTTTTTAAATGTTCCTCAAGTAATTTTCTAAAAAAAACTCTTGCACGGCAATGTCGTAACATGCTTTAGTTAGGCAGTGCAGTATACAACTGGCATCGGGACAACATTCCAAAATTCATGAAGAGGGCGGTACCAAAAAATTAGGACGTGTTGGGGTATAAGTTTGTTCAAGACTTTTACTCAAGGGACCACGAGAAAGTCAAATAAACTCAGTCCTTGTTGCACAGTTTAATCGATTGAAAGGTCGAACGGGGTCTGCCTATAAGCCTGGATATCACGTACACTGACTTGCACTCGTTATGAAGACGCAGAATAAGTCTCCGTTTGCTCTGGGTCGTCTCCTTTCCTTTCCGGCCCATGTTGCTAGCTTTTCTACTACAGCGACTATACCTTCCTCAGATAGCTTTCAAAACAACAATACGCAGTGTTCTGTCATTAAGCAATCTACGCCGAAGTACTACAAAAATGCGTTAAATGAGGTTTTGACAGTTTAACATTTCAATGCAACGAATACTCCTAAGTGGACGAATACTTTTTGAGCATGCACAACAATAAGAACTATCCAGTAATCGTATTCTTGTCACCAAGAATAGACTTCCGTTATTAATTTTTAATAATTAAGATTTATTGGTTCATTTTCTACTATATGTAAACACTAATGTTTTTTCCTTGTCCCCAAAACACTGAAAACGGAACCAGTTTTAAGAAATATGCAGCTAGACGAATACTTTGTGCACCCACTGTATACAAAGGCTCAATGCACAAATTTGGGTTCAATCGGACATGATTTGGGATGGCGCAAAATCGTCAAAGATGGAACTTTTTTCATCTGAAAATCTACCAAATCGAAATTTGTTGTACACTCAAAAAATAAATCATATTTCCGGTGGAAAATATCCATTACAATTTCACATAACTTTCATGTGATCTCATAATTGGCAATCGCACCACAAAATCACATGAACCTTATGTCTCCAATGAAGTTTATGTGATTATCACATAGAATTCATGTGATCATGTGAATGTTATGTGAATCTATACATATAAAAATAAATTTCTGTCTGTCTGTCAGTCTGTCTGACCCTTATAGACTCGGAAACTACTGAACCGATTGGCGTGAAAATTTGTATACAGGGGTTTTTGGGGCCGTGGAAGGTTCTTATGATGGTTCGAGACCCCTCCCCCTTCTGTAAGGGGGGGCTCCCATACAAATGAAACAGAAATTTCTGCATAACTCGAGAACTAATCAAGCAAATGGAACCAAATTAGGCATGTGGGGGCGAGTGTGGGGGTATAAGGAGATAATCATAGGGGGTAGCCCCTTAGATAATAGGGGGGGGGGGGGCTACGTACAATATAGCATGCTTTTTTTTAAATCGGCGCATAAACTCAAGCTAATATTGAATCCCGAGCAAGACCGGGCACACTCAGCTAGTTTCAGATAAAAATCATTAATTTTGTTATTGGAAAAATGTCATGTGCGTTCCCAATGGAAACTATATGAAGACTTTTTTCAGTGTATGCTAAATGATTCGAAAATGCGTGAAGTGTCGAGATTCAGTGTTAACTCGAAAAAATATTTTTTTGTCGAAAATAAACTTTCTGACGCTTAGGCTGCGTTCCATTTGGTGAATTTTCACTTAAATTTGACAGAGGGAACATTTTCAAATAAACCTACTATTCGAGCAGACTTATTTCTGACAGATCAGGACTCAATTTTGACAAATACCTTTTCGAAAATCGGACGATCAGCAAGAGAGGGATTTTCGAAGTGTCAAATCTCGTGTCAAATTTAAGTGAAAATTCACCAAATGGAACACAGCCTTATGTTCGAAATCCCTCTGTTGTTGATCTTCCTATTTTCGAGAAGGCGTGTGTGTGTGTGTGTATTCCCTCTAACCCCCACTGGCCTGCAGTGTTATTGCGGAAGAACTCTCTCTACAATGTCGCATTTATGGTCATTGTAGACAGCTTTAGTCCGAGAGTTAGAAGGTGATAGCTATATTGCACACAACAAATTTAAGTTTTCATTATCAGTAAAACGAATTGCTGGATCATGATCAGCAATCCAATATTTTACTGAAAAACAGCACACGATATTATTACCGAAAAAATCAGCTAACATAAACTAACACCCAGTCAAAGAGCTGTCAAACTGTTAGCATCACAGTCGCAAGTATTTTTGCTGTCTAAAATTAAATAAAATTATGTAGGTAATTTGGAAAAGAGTTTGGCGATTTTATCATTATTATTTATATATTTGTATCAACGATCCTTTACAGAAGCTGGAAGCTCTTATAGTGAAAACAAATTCGATTCACTGAATTTAATAGTTTAATCAGCAAAATGCTGCCAAATGTCAGAATTTTGAATTGCTGAAAGATCAGTAAAGAAATATTGCTGATTTTCAGTAAAAGGATGTCATTTTGACAGAAGTTGGAATTGCTGAAAAATTCAGCTGCATTATTTTGCTGATCTTTCATCAAGTCTAAAATCAGCAAAGTTTTGCTGATTTTCAGCGATTTAAATTTGGTGTGCAGATCCAACAACCCATTTCAGAATGTCTGGCGAGTCCGCCCGTTCCGAGGTTACTTTCACTCACAATAAGCCCCGCATGTATGCATCACCGTTATCAAACGGATATTGGTGATACATACACACTTCCAGGTTCGAAAATATTCTTTTCAACCCTGGCATGTATTTAGTTTAATGTTGATATTTCATTTGTACACAAAAATTTGGACAGCTCTCACCATATTCTGCTCTTCCGCCGCCGTTAATTGCTTCCTTTGGAATTCCTTGGACTTTTTCTCTAACGCTTCGTATTTCATTCCGTGCTTCACCGGCAATTTCCTTCCGTAGATCGTCCTTGGTTGGTTGGTTCTAGTATGATTCCGCCTTTTTTGGTCGGTTTGAAGTCCACCATATGTTATTGAATTGCCATGGTGATCTGGGACGAGGCTCACGTCCAAAGTCGCTGGTCCATCAAGCGCTCCGTGTGCGAAAGGAGAATGAAAGAAAGAAATACGAAAGGGATCAGTTTCAAGAAGTGACAATTTCATCAGATTCCCCAACTAACCATACTCAAGCAAAGTAAGAATATACAAGCTATATTGCGACTATATGGTTACTTGGGTATGGCCGTCAGAATGGTTCATCGGTTGCGAAGTATTTCTGAAAGTGATGCGTAATATTTCTCAATGTTTTGATTTTATCAATGTTATATCACAGACAAGCAGACACAACACATTGAACATTTATCATTGTAAACCCTACCGCCATCTGTCGTATACACTATGATGGGCAATACACTCAACAGATGGTTGTAGTGTGTAAACGTCAAACGCTAGGGAATTGATTATGTGCACCACAAGTGGCAGTACTACCAACTAAGAAACATTTAAATTGACCGTTAAAACGATTTTGATGAACGTTTTAAGAGTGTTATGTCTGCTTGTCTGTGATCATACCTTCACTATCGCAACTTCGGGTAATCTGCGAAAGTACTTGCATTTTTCTCAGGCACTTTTGATCTAACTGCAATTACTGTCTCATACTCGAAATGTGCCACGACCAAATTGGCACAACGACGCCCTATAAGCTCTCTGACCGAAGCGCAGGGCTTCCTATTTTCGAGAAGGTGTTTGTCAAAATTGATTCCTGGTCTGTCAGAAATAAGTCTGGTACAATAGCAGGTTTATTTGAAAATTTTCCATCTGTCAAATTTAAGTGAAAATTCACCAAATGGAACACAGCCTTGGTGAAATGTCGGAAGTTGATTTTTTTCGTTGATGCTAAATAAATTAAAAATGCATGAAACGTCGAGATCTAGTGTTATCCGTAGAAAACTCTTTTGTCATAAATTGACTTTCTGGGAATTATAAATTATTCGAAAATTTCCGAAGAGAAATATCTGTCCATTATGCAATTTTAATTTCTTTGGCATTCATTTTTTTTTTATTATTTCCGAATTTTCACCAGGGAAGTTGGTTTTTGGCAAAAACAAATGGATCTCGACGTTTCAACAACTCGAAGTTGGGCGGAAATTGGACAACGATGTTCAAGTGACTTGACAGCAAACACAAAAATGAGTTGAACGCCAAATTTAATCGTCCAAACCGGGCTTAAGCGTTAGCAACCATGTCTCTCACGCTGAAGGTCACGGGTTCAAATGTTGGCACCGAATAAGTCATAAATGGCCTGACAAATGTGAAACCATTCATGGACGGCTGAGCAAGCAAAGATGATATGCGATTATGGGCAGTGTGTACATCTACATACGACTTCTTATTGTCTGGGACGGCCTTTCTAACGCTTACAAATGTTCATGGCTTTTAAACACATATTTTTCACTTGAACATCCGTTCTGGCTAGGTTAATGTTTCCTTTCACCGGCTTTAAATGTATCGTATGTTCTTTTTTTTCGTCCAACGTGTGCTCAAAACTAACCACACACCTCCCACCATTTTAGGCATCGATTCCTTCGGATTGGGATTGTTCCTGCAGAAGCGCATGATCAAACGTATGATCGCCTCGTACGTGGGTGAAAATGCCGAATTCGAACGTCAGTATCTGACCGGTGAGCTTGAACTGGAACTCACACCCCAGGGAACGCTGGCCGAGCGGATCCGCGCCGGAGGTGCCGGCATTCCTGCCTTCTTCACGCCGACTGCCTTCGGTACCTTAGTTCACGAAGGTGGTGCCCCGATCAAGTACGGCAAAGATGGAACCGTCGAAATTGCCAGCCAACCGCGGCCGGCGCAGATGTTCAACGGCAAACCATACATCATGGAGGAAGCCATCACCGGAGATTTCGCTCTGATCAAGGCGCAGGTTGCTGACGAAGCTGGCAATCTGATCTTTAACAAATCGGCTCGAAACTTCAATCCGACCATGTGCAAAGCTGCCAAGACGACCATCGTCGAGGTGGAGGAAATTGTCCCGGTAGGCTCGCTGGATCCGGATCAGGTCCATATGCCAAGCGTGTTTGTACATCGCATCATCAAGGGAGCCAAATACGAGAAGCCGATCGAACGCCTGCGAATTCGTGAACCGAAGAAGGTTGCATCGGTTGTGGCCTCCACTCCAGCAGCTAAGCAGCGTGAGCGGATTGTGAGACGTGTTGCCTTGGAATATAAGGATGGTATGCACATCAACTTGGGAATCGGCATTCCGGTGTTGTCGTCGAATTACATCAAGGGTATCAATGTGTTGCTGCAGTCCGAGAACGGTATTCTAGGACTGGGACCATTCCCAGAGCGACACGAAGTGGATCCGGATCTAATCAATGCCGGAAAGGAGAGCGTTACCGTTTTGCCTGGAGCTTCCTACTTCTCGTCGGACGACAGTTTCGCCATGATCCGCGGAGGACACATCGATATTACCGTTCTGGGAGCCATGCAGGTGTCGCAGTTTGGCGATCTGGCCAACTGGATGATTCCCGTGAGTAAAGCATAATGAGGTCTTATCTGACATTTTAGAGTCTTAAACTTGTTTTGTTTCTTTTATAAAAGGGTCGCCTGGTGAAGGGTATGGGTGGAGCTATGGATCTGGTGGCTGCCCCCGATACCAAGTGCATCGTAACGATGGAACATACCGCCAAGGATGGTTCACACAAAATTCTCACAGACTGTTCACTGCCAGTGACGGGTAAAAACTGCGTGGACATGATCATCACCGAGAAGGCCGTCTTCGATGTGGATCAGGAGCGAGGTCTGATCCTGAAGGAAATCGCCGACGGTGTCACGGTGGAGGAAGTCATCACCAGCACCGGATGCAACTTTGAGGTATCGCCCGACCTTAAACCGATGGGTCAGATTGATGAGTAGAATGGTAGAGGTGAATGCGTGCGTGTGTTTTTTATTCGGAAAGATATGCTTTAGCTGTATCTGATGGTATCTCAAGAGAAGGGGGATGTGTTGGTTGCATGTACATTTTTAGGGACTCAGGAAAAAGCATTTGTTTCTTATGACGGTGTCTTCACTCCGTTGCTTCGGTTGCCACACAAAGATTATTATTACTAGAGTGTTATAGGTGGAACACTAAGTGTAAAAAACCTTTCTGCTGTTACAGTTGATAAGTTATTCGTACGGTCGGATTGAAAATAGTTTTTTTTTAATACATGCTATACTAGACTGTAGCGGGTGAAAGGTTGTATTGTGTCGATCGCAGGTTTTGAAGACATCCCAACAAATTTCCAGATGCTGACCTCTACAACATATTTTACCTTCACCTCCTCGGTCACAATGACAGACCACCAGACAACAGTTATCTCAAAAACCTTGTCTCAGCCGAAGACGACGACGGTGACGATTGGCACGCTTCTTAACGTTATGCATTCATATTTATTTTCGGAACCGGTAATTTGAATCGACCTGTTGCCATTTGGATTTTGAGCCACTGCTTATGTTGCATTCCGCCGAAAAATAAATACATCGGTGATTCTTCACACAAACTCATTATCATACTCATAATCGATCAAGCACCGCATAACTTAAATTTCTCGACGGAGGAGTCGTTGTTTTTCTATTAACCACCACATGGAATCAGTAGACAGCTCAGTTAGGTGGTTGGGTCAGCCGAGAAAGAGGAATTAATTTCATGTCGTTCGGTTTTAGCTGAATGAAATTCAAGCTGATTAATAGCGAAAATTTGGATGATGCATGCATATTTATGTGCCATAAATGGATGTGGACTGTTCTCTTTTGGCGTGAAATGTGTGAAAGGTCAAAATGCAAATATGGGTACATTCGATTCGTTGCCGGTTATAGTCGATTGATGTAGGAGGCAGACACTCTGGCAGATTAAAAGCAATAAAAATATAATATAATAAGGCGTAAGGTGTATTACCAAGGCGGATAATCAAAGGAGCCACAGTAGGAAGAAGTGTTAGTTTGTGTACTAAAATGAACATTACCGATTGTAGATGGCAAATTTTGCTAAAATTAATCCTCCTCACGTTTATTCGCGAAAACTATTAGGAAAGTTACAGTTTTTTTTTAAGTGACGCCGGGTTAAAAAAGACCCAGGAAATTTTACTGCATCAAATACCGTGCCAGCACCATATTTGACGCGTTGATGACGCACTCGTCTAGTTTTGATCGCATCTCGATTTTGATTTGTATTTTTAAAAACTTGGTTACACCATCATCTCTAGAGCATATTATTTGCAGAATAAACCTTTCAAAAATAATGATTGAAAATAGTCGAACATTATTGAGTACTTCGATTTAGCAACCGCTTCGAATATGGTGCCTCCACGGTATAGTCATAGAGGTAACTCTAAGACTAGAAGGTCCCGAAGAAACGTGCTCAATTTTTGGCTCAGCTCTGGTACTCTCTTCGGTCCCAAGCTAATCGATTCACCCCTCGAAACATAGGAAAATCTACTATCCCCTCATTTTATCTGTCAAACTTTCACAGCAAATCAAAACAAACATAGTGTAGTACTAGAATTTCGACTAGAATGGGGTACGTTAATCGATTTGCTTGGGACCAATAGGCTAGTCAAATAGTGAGCCAATTTTAAATCGTTAGTTTCCACCGGTTGGTATCACTGTTTGTATGGATATTATTTCCTAGGATTCAGTAGAAAGACACTTGCGAAAATATATGCGAAACACCGGACAACCATTTCAAGCTGGATAAGGATGTACGAAGAGAACAAAATATTCTAGCGGAAGGAAAGGGAACAGGTATATTCAATTCAACTCGGACCAGAGAAGGTGGATAGTGGACCATTATAAAAACTGTCCTATCCTTTACCTTGACGAGACCAAATCTCAATTTGAACAAACATTACACAAAACAATTAGCACGTCATCTGTAAGCCGAATCCTTCACGCTGCAGGACTTTCCCGGAAGGTATTAGAGCGCCGAGCAATTCAAATTAGAATGCTGGACATCTACAGGTTCGTTTCAGATATGGCTATTTCGGAGACGAGCCAGCCAACGGCTGAAAGTCTCCTTAATAAAAATATATATAAAAAAAGATATGGCTATTGTGACCTGGGATATTCATTCCCTGGTTTTTCTCGACGAAGTATCGTTCGACAATCGAGGTATGCTTAGAAATAAAGGGTATGTGCCAGTTGGAGAAAAAATAGTATATAGAGGAGAGTTTGTTCGACGGTCTCGCTGTTCCATGCTTAGTTTTGTAGGGTACAATCAATAATCAATACGAAACTAACGATTTTAAATTGGCTCACCACTTTAGTAGCCTATTGGTCCCAAGCAAACGATTAACGTACCCTATTCTATTTGAAATTCTATTACTACACTATGTTTGTTTTGATTCGCTATGAAAGTTTGACAGATAACATCAGGGGTGTGTGGATTCATGCAGAACATGCAGGGGTGAGTGAAATAGCTTGGGACTGCTCGGGACCGTTGTTCTGGTACTGAGTGAGCCAAAAATAATAATGATTTTCTTCGGGACCCAGTGGTCTTAGAGTTACCTCTATGGTACAATGGAGTACTCGAAACCTTTACCAGAAAAAATTCTTCAATTGCGTTCGTTCTTTTGCTACTGCTGGTCTAGTACAGCGAAACCCTGGAGAATACTCGGTTTAGATTTTGGATGGAGCAAGAATCCATTGCCATAAATCGATAGTCGAATATCTACGTTCGTTGGGGATAGCAGTTGTTTTTCTCCCTGTTTATGCTCCATTTTACAATCCTATAGAATTTTTTTTTTTGGTTATCTTAAAAAATACTTGAAACGGGTCTACGTAGAAAACAGTCGGAAAGATCTTACCGCAGACATCGTTGGAGCCGTGTGCCATTTTAAGAACTATGATTGTACAAGAGTTTTGACAAAATGTGGCTACCTACCTGGGGGACAATTTGATCCTAGCCGGGAATTGGGAATTCGGATTCGAAACATGACCTATATATATAAGCCCCATATGATTGAAAGAGAACTATTTTAAAATCATTGACTTATTCTTTACTGTATGCATAAAATACATCTCAAACAACGTATCATTTCATTTTACAAAAAAAAAAAAAAACGCTGTTCGGTTTTGATTGGAAATTCATTAAAATCACCTGTAAAAAAACATTTAATAAACGCAAATTTAATTCAAAGCGTGGTCCACATCAAAGCAATTGGTGACACTATGGGCAAGTTCAACTGATGAGAACTTATTTTCTCTCACACTGACTGAACTATTCATGGCTGTTAGCATGTCGTCGTATTCCTTCTGTTTGGTCTCCATCATCAAAATCCTTTCTCCCATAACATTAAGTATATTCTTTACTTGTTGATAGTCATTCTTCAGCTCCTGAAGTATGTTCCGATACGAACAGTTAACCGTGTTAGCTACCTGCACATCGAGCCTTGCTTTCTCCAATATTGTATCACTATCCACAGGAACACTACTAAAAAGGTTGATGAGGTGCTCTGGAGGCGTTTGATGTTTCAGATTATCCCGTTGGTCATATGGTTTACTCGATATCCAGCTTGCCCAGCACCCCCAGTTGACGTCGTCACCTGAAAAATACTTTCCATGTGTGTATTTGAGCTCCCCTTTCAGCTGATTTATGGTAGCAACAGATTCCGCACCAGAACGGTCCGTCTCCAAAGGACGAATAAGCTGGCACTCAACTTGACGCCATATCTCGAGACTTGTAACCGAATCCGAGTACTTATAGACGATTACAAACATTTCCCTTGCCAGCTAACTGACCAAGGTATTGCTGTCCACTTTCGAGGGAACAATGTTTTTCTTACTGGATTTGTCTTGAAACATAATAAATGTATCGCGTTCGTCGTAACTTGGTAAAAATTCGGACCACGTAGCGTCAACTCGTGAATCTGATGGTTCTGAGAAAGCAACGGCACGATAAGTGAATTTGGAACAGAACTCCCAAATCTTCATTAGGACTTCTTCGACTGCATCAACATCAACGTTGATCGTCCCGCAGTTTTCGTACGACTTTTGATTTTTAAACTTCTTCAAGCAAACCGCTGCTCGGAATCTGAATTTCTTTCCGCTCAATCTTGCTGGCATATCCTTGTTTTGCATTTAAAAAAAAACACTCGCTCACCTTTTTCGACGATGCAATGACTGTGGAAGTTGATGGTTTGATCTCAGGCTCGACCAACTCATAAGCTGGATTTTCCAATTCATCAAGAGTCTCAATATCGTAGTCAATCTGCAGCGGATCCGCGTAAATGAGAAAGTCTTCGTTTCCACCTTTAACGTACTCCATCGAATCATTTTCGGTGTTTTGAGCATCGCCAGGTGCTTCCATTTCTTTGTAATAGGTTTTTATTGAGTTTTTAATCGAAAGATTATATTTAAATAAAGATTCAGTTGGAAATCACTCGCATCGATCAACAATATTTTATTCCGAATGTCTAAAGTCAACAAATAAATCGACAGTGAGCATGCATAAGGGCCTATACGCGATGATCGATTCTCTTCGTCGATTTTCTCTTTTGTTAATAACTCGCTAGATTTAACGTTTCTCGGTGCGTTTGCTGTTGCTTTTGATAGCCAATACAACCTGTTACTACTCTGCATTGAACAAATTCTTGAAAATTGTTTCGCTTAGCTGTAGCAATGTAAAGAGAAAATCGATGAAGAGAATCGATCATCGCGTATTCGCCCTTATGAATGCTCACTGTCGAAATAAACAAACATGCTCGTGGTGTCAATAAATGGAGTCGCTTGATTGTTATGCAGAATGGTTGCCAGATCTACTGTGCTTTTTAAAACTTCTCTATTAAATGAGACATTAAGTTTTATTAAGTGACTTCATGTCATGGTAGCGCAATTATTCCGCGATTGAAAGTGTCTAATCAATTTGATCGTGATTTGTGCGTTTTTGTTGAGATGCACAATAATTGGAAGTATAAATAGAAGCAGTCAATATCATGCAATTTTATCGGGAAGATATAAATTTCACGTGTTTAAATTAATACTTATATCTACTCATAAAATTGTAAAATATTGACTAATTGATTATTATATGGAAGACACGTGTATGAGTTTTTTTCTGAAAAAATATGAACACCTGTTTGCAGACTCAAAATGCTGATGTCACCGTCTGAAATCATAAAACTAGAAAAAGACTACATATAATCATAAATAAATTAATGTAAAAGAATCTAATTACCAACATTTGCAGCAAGCGCTGAGGAATTTTGAATCTTTGATGATTTCTTCCACCACGCTCGGTGACGCCATATTGTTTTTTTTTGCGTACCTGAAAATCACGTAAATCTCGTTTCACGTTAATATCGAAGTCCCAAACACATAAACACAAATACACTAAATCTATACTAAATCCACAGACAAACAGACATAACACTCGCAAGATGTTCATCGAACAAGCATTTATCGGTCAATTTAAAAGTATCTTAGTTGGTAGTACCATAGAGGTAACTCTAAGACCAGAAGGTCCCGAAGAAACGTGCTCAACTTTTTGGCTCAGCTCTGGTACTATCTTCGGTCCCAAGCTAATCGATTCACCCCTCGAAACATAGGAAAATCCAATAACCCCTCATTTTATCTGTCAAACTTTCATAGCGAATCAAAACAAACATTGCGTAGTACTAGAATTTCGACTAGAATGGGATATACGTTAATCGATTTGCTTGGGACCAATAGGCTAGTCAAGTAGTGAGCCAATTTAAAATCGTTAGTTTCGTATTGATTGTTGGTAGTACCGCCACCTGTGGCACGCATAGTCAATTCCCTTGCGTTTGACGTTTCCACACTACCGCCATCTGTTCAGCGTACTACCCACCACAGTGTACTCAACAGATGGCGGTAATGTTTTAACGACGATGTTTTACAGTGAGAAATATTCAATGTGTTATGTCTGTTTGTCTGTGCTAAATCTATAAGTGAATATACAGTCAATTTCACCAACATTTTTAGTGGACATGACGTGTAATGCAGGTCAAAGTTACTAACGGCACGTAACATTTGAGATTTTCTAAATACAGATCTGGTACGTGATATTTCACGTAAATCAGACGTGAAGATTTTTTAGAGTGTATGTTGCCAGAGATGAACCAGCCGATGGCTGAAAGTCTCTTTAATAAAGAAAGATACAAAGATACAAGAAGATTAACGAAATATGATAGAGACCTGAAATTTCCGCACTTTCGGAAACGAACGTTTTGCTGTCAAAAGAAGCTTCCAGTGATCTCTAAGGCTGTGAACCATTTGCCGAGTTAAATTTAACTCGTGGTTAAAAGTGACATTTCGAAAGTTATTTCTTATGTTCGAAAATCCCCGTGCTGTCGCCCGACCGGTTTTCGAGCCACGGTCGTCAAAATTTAACTTCTTGTCTGTCAGAAATAACCACGCTCAGATTGCAGGGTTTAACAATAACTTTCCATCTGTCAACTTTTAACCAAAAGTTAAAAAAATCCACCAAATGGTTCAGAGCCTAAGGCTGTGAACCATTTGCCGAGTTAAATTTAACTCGTGGTTAAAGTGACATTTCGAAAGTTATTTTCTATGTTCGAAAATCCCCGTGCTGTCGATCGACCGGTTTTCGAGCCACAATTGTCAAAATTTAACTTCTTATCTGTCAGAAGTAACCACGCTCGGGTAGCAGGGTTAATCGATAACTTTCCATCTGTCAAATTTTAACCAAAAGTTAAAATAATTCGCCAAATGGTTCAGAGCCTAAGAGTGGCGCCACAAAAAAGTGACACACAGACTGCAACTTACATCCATTTTCGAACTATTGGCGTTGACGGCGACTCTGTAGCTCTTTACTCCTATGAGAAAATCCATAAACAAACGTCAGACTGTGCGTGAAACATGGCGTACTTCGTACTATCCTTTCACTCCATCGAAAATTCCCATAAGAAACTGTCTGAATTTGCTGTAAGAGCAAATTTTTCGACGGTGCCGTCAACGCCAATTGGCCTCAAAAGAAAGATAAAGGTTCCTAAAATGGCACCCTTCCCAGTATTTCTCCAATTTGGCCTAAACATTTAGATTTTTTACCGAGATAAGCACAACCGACATTTTATTTTGCTGAATCTTAGTGAAAAACTTGCCGAGATTCAACTAACAAACAGGAATTTTGCCAGCAAAATAACCTGCACGGTAACCAGCGTAAACACATTAATGTGTAAAATTTCACACATTTCGTGAAAAAAGGGGTCTACTCATAAAATGTGTAAACTGCGTTTACACATTTATGTGTAAACCCAGCGAACGTCAATAGAAGTGTATTTTTTACACATTTTTCAAGAACGGTTTTTACAGTAAAATGTGTAAAAATTTATCATTTCTAGAACTTAAATATAATGGGTGCGCATGGTTTTTTATTGCCTTCGGAATTTTCTTATTTGTGTTAATTATAAAATAAAGATTGCTCGAATACAATAATATTTTATTAAAAAAAAGGAATGCCATCAAAAAATCAGTACCGGCGCCGGTGTTGTAAGCGTGATTGCCTCTTTCCCCAGCAGGCCTGATTTCAATCCCAGTCGGCACCGCTGGGATGTTCTGAGGCATAACATCTCTGATCACGCCGAGAATCACGCCTTCCTTCGGAAGGGAAGTAAATCCATTGGTTCCCGGTTCATGAGTTGATGGATCGATAGGTAGGATCCAGGTGTGGGAGCTTCCTTCCTGGCGTCAGTAGCATTGGTGCTCAGCACGGAAAACAAATTAAGGAAAAAACAAAAATCAGTATGAAGCAAGCAAGTTTTTCCAAAACTTAACTATGAAAATAGTATAAATCACCTACCTTCTAGTATGTCCATCGTCGTACTGTCCAGCTTGGACCGTAGTTCCTCCATTTTCCTGTTGTACTTCACTGAAATATAAACAAATTACGTGCGTAAACAAGGCAGGCTACAGCAAAGTTTGAAGTTTTTTTTACCCATTAATGAGTATAAAAATACACATTTTTTGACTGGTACTACATTCTTAAAATGTGTATTTTTTTACACATTTTAAGATCTCCAAATTTACACATTTTTTGACAGCTGCATATAAATATAAAAAATGTGTATTTTTTTACTCATTTATGTGTTTACGCTGGTTACCGTGTGAGTGTGTAGGATGCCTGGCACCGGTTCTGATAGGGCACAAATGGACACGTCATAAACCTCGTGTACTGGGATCGTCCAATGCACAATGGGGAAAAATGGACGAAAAAATACATTTAATTGTGTGCCACTGAAATTCGCTGGATCAAACATATAGGGGAAAAGTTGGCTTCGGCAATACCTTAACCTATTATCGTCAGGGGGTAAACAAAGACCTAGAGCACTCAAATTTGGCCAATAGTTGCTCTGAAACACAATGTATCCACATGCCAAAATTGAGCTCTCAAGGACGTTGTTTACCCCCCTGACGATAATAGGTTAAGGTATTGCCGAAGCCAACTTTTCAGCTAGTTCATATCATTTCTGTAGGTAAACTTGCGGAATCGAATGGAAATGGTTTCATCCCCTAGGTAAAAATGTCGAGATCACAGGTATGAAAATGAAACTACAATGTGTAGAATCTAATTATCTAATTAAAAAACCAAAGATTTAAGTAAACTAAAGAAGAAAAATCTATACAAATCTCTAATAAGGACTTTGAACAGCTTTTAAAATTTCATACTTATAACCAGGGATGATTCCTCGGATCGCTCTTTGGAAATTCGTTCATTAGTTTATAATATAGAAAGCTAACGAGGAGTCCAAGTGTTGCCTCAGTGTATCGGTAAAACCCACCCCAGTGACAGGAAGTCATTATCGCGCAGGAAACATACTTAATTAACAATTACCATAAACGAACGGTAGCCCGGAAGGTAGAACTAGCCTATAAATGGTTTGGATGATACCTTGAGCACGTCGTTATACCCCCGTTCACATTACAACCTATATCACGTAATGTAGGCTGTCTTGCAATGAGCGCTCATACATAGGATTTCCAGTGAAAACTAGATGTATGAGTGCTCATTGCAAGACAGCGTATATCACGTGATGTACGCTGTAATGTGATCGGGGTATTAAGCTCATTCTTAGTTTTATTAGGGGTGTCATACCGTGACAGCGGTTCCAACATAGCCAAATAATTTGATGTCGACATCAAAGCAGTCGAACATCCTGGATCGGGATTTAATCCGAGGATAATACCGGTTCAAGTTTACCACCATTACAGTTTCACTGCCCATAACCGCAAGTCAGTTTCATTTGTAAAAAAAAACTGGAAATGAGAAAACGACATCCAAGATTTTGTAAGTTTTCACATTTTACACTTATTTTGGAGGGATAATTTTGAAAATAAACGTGCAATGTGATAGAATGCATCTATGTTTAGTAAAAACTATTTCATAATTTTTTTTTATTCCTAAAATCTGAGTGGGACTAATTTGCGATTACATTTAAAGGGCGATTCAAATATGACATCCACATTTTTTTTTAAATCCCGATTAAGAATATACAGCTGCTTTGATGTCAACATCAGAGTTAAAAAACATGACTCTAAGCAAACATTTAGCAGATCGTCGGAATTAAAAGTTCATCCGAGGTGGAGCTTACCGTCATCAATGAATGACTGTGAAAGTTGAGGGCAGGCACAATCTCGTGTAAGAGCGTCAAAAACTAGGTAGAATAAAAAGCATACAGACTCTGACGAAATAAGCTATTATCACTCGAAATGTCAATCAAATAACCATGACATTGAAGGAGACTGACTTTCAAAGTGCAATTATGCATCGAAAACTACATCAGCAAATACAATTCGTCGCCACGACAGTTTGAATCAATCGACTAATTTGAATATATTTCTCTCTATGTTACCGCCGAAAAGATCGTCAGGTCACACCGTGCACCATCATACCGTTTGTCCAAAAGTGGCGAAGGTGTGCGACCGCGATTGCAAAAATCGACTCTTCTTTCTGGTCAAATTAAACACCGGTCAGGTGTCTCGAAATCCGAAATCTGTATAAAAACCACCGGCCAGCATCCCAAAAGGTATCAGTCTCGCAGAGTTTTCCGTTCGCTTATCATCTAGTCTGTTACGCTTCTTTAGGCTTGAAAATGTACAAGAAACTGGTGAGTCGAAAAGTTGATAAAATTACCTAATATAACAGCCAAGACGAACCGGTGCCGAAAAGTTAATTTTGCCTTTGTTTGATGCCGGAGCAAGAATTCGATTAGCATATTATGCTAATACTGTGAACTCGAACCGATACTTGCAAATGTGATGAACAGTGTCAGTGACATTACATGTTGCGTTTTATCCCATTTGACAACAGTTTCGTAAAAATTTTAATTGATGCAAATTTTGAAGTTCATGATTTGAAACTTTTAATCAACTTGCATCGCCTCCATCCAACAGTTCATCGCCTCATTGGTGCTAGCCGTGGCCGTGGCTGCTCCACCAAAGAAGCCCTCAGAGACCCGTACATCCCGAGGTGCTGCCACGGGTCCTGGCGCCAGCGGAGCGGATGCCACCGCCACCATCGAGGCCCAAGATCAGATCATCAACGGTGACGGTAGCTACGCGTACAACTTCGAAACCAGCAACGGAATCCGGGCCTACCAGCGCAGCGACAATGGCATCAACGCCAACGGGGAATTCTCCTACGTCGCTCCGGACGGTGCCGAGTACCGTGTGACGTACGTGGCCGATGAGAACGGTTTCCAGCCACAGGGTGCCCATCTGCCAGTGGAGCCCCCAGCACCGGAACATGTAATCAAGATGCTGGAGGATCTGCGTGCCGCCAACAATCCAGACTTTGACATCGCCAGTCTGGACGCTACCATTGCCCGGTTGAGGGCTACTCAGGGCTAAAGTCGCTGCTAGGAGCACACCAATGGCTGTGCGATGATACGTTGTTCCACCTGGATGGGGAATTTTGTACATATTTCAAAACACAAGATACAGGATGATTAGTGCAATACGTGTAGTTTGTAAGTGTGTAAATAAATTTAAATATTTAAAACATGAGACAGCGTTTTATACTTATTATTGCATCTAAGGAGGGTTGTGGTGCATTTCGAAGTGATGACTTATGACGTTGGCATTATAAAAATCTAAGAGATTTCAAAATCATGTCTACTTCCAACGTAGCGCAAAACAACGGACACGAATTGAATCATGGAATGTATTGACGTTAGCCCAGCAGGGTAAACTGGCATAACTCGCCAACGAGGCGCGACGCATGAAGCTAGAAATCCTGGGACTGAGTGAAGTTCGTTGGCCAAACTTTGGAGAACACAAACTGCCGTCGGGACAGGTACTACTATACTCTGGTATTCAAGGTGAAAACGCTCCCCGCCATCGTGGAGTTGGTCTCCTACTTAGCGTCCAGGCAAGTGCTGCGCTCATCAAGTGGGAAGCCTGTTAATGAGAGGATAATCGTTGCCAGATTTAGAACACGGGTTCGTAACCTTACCATAATCCAATGTTATGCGCCAACCGATGCTGCCGAGCTACAGGACAAGCGAGCGTGGGTGAACTCCCTGGCCGACGAAGGGGAGAAAGCCGCAAACACTGGCGATATACGCCTCCTCTACGATATCTCACGACGCCTGAGTGGAGCAAGGATGAACCCGAGGATGCCAGTGAAGGACACGACTGGACAATTGCTTACCGACCACACTGACCAGCTGAAACGCTGGTTTTAGCCCTTCGAACAACTTCTTCAAGTTTCAACGGCCAACCAGCCATCAACATCTCGGCATGATCCGCCTAGGGTGCGGCGCATCACTCGCGTCAATTCCGAGGCCCCATCACTGCAGGAGATTGAAGCAGCTATCCGAAGCATGAAATCCAACAAGGCTCCAGGGGTCGATCGCATATCAGCAGAGATGCTCAAAGCTGACCCCATGCTATCCGCACAAATGTTGCATCAACTATTCTGTAATATCTGGGACACCGCGACTTTTCCGGCCGACTGGATGCAGGGCATCTTAGTGAAGGTCCCAAAGAAGGGGGATCTGACTGTGTGCGACAATTGGCGAGGCATCATGTTACTGTGCAAAGTTATCCTGAATCGGTCGGATACAGAGCAGGTCAATGAATTCCAAGAGTCCCTTTATTTGGTATTCATTGACTACGAAAAAGCTTTCGACCGTCTCAATCACGAGAATCTGTGGGACGCCCTGAGACGCAAGGGAGTCCCGGATAAAATCGTCAACCTCATCGAAGCGCAGTATGAGCAACAATCAATACGAAACTAACGATTTTAAATTGGCTCACCACTTTAGTAGCCTATTGGTCCCAAGTAAACGATTAACGTACCCTATTCTAGTCGAAATTCTAGTACTACGCAATGTTTGTTTTGATTCGCTATGAAAGTTTGACAGATAAAATGAGGGGTTATTGGTTTTTCCTATGTTTCGAGGGGTGATTCGACAAGCTTGGGACCGAAGATAGTACCAGAGGTGAGCCAAAAAGTTGAGCACGTTTCTTCGGGACCTTCTAGTCTTAGAGTTACCTCTATGGTATGAGGCTTTCACGTGCAGAGTTCTGCATAACGGAGCCTTGTCCGACCCTATCCGGGTAGTCGCTGGTGTGAGACAAGGATGTATACTATCACCGCTACTGTTTCTCATCGTAATCGACGAGATCATGGTAGGTGCAATTGACCATGTACCGAACCGTGGGCTGCTTTGGCAGCCTATCACCATGGACCATCTCAACGACTTCGATTTGGCTGATGATGTTGCTCTACTAGCACAACGGCGCTCTGATATGCAGAGTAAGCTCAATGACCTAGCCGAACGCTCCTCTGCGGCGGGTCTCACTATCAACGTCAACAAGACCAAATCGTTGGATATCACCACGGGCAACCCTTCCAACAGTGGAGAAGGTCGAAAGTTTCCAATATCTTGGCAGCCAAATAGCGTCGGACGGCGGGACCAAGAGCGACATAGGTGCACGAATCAAGAAGGCTAGGGCTGCCTTTGCGAGTTTACGAAACATATGGAGATCCAACCAGATAAGTCAACGCACTAAAATCCGAATTTTCAACTCGAACGTGAAATCTGTGTTGTTATACGCCAGCGAGACGTGGTGTGTATCAGCGGAGAACACTCAAAAGCTGCAGGTCTTCATCAAACGATGCCTGCGGTATATAATTCGTGCCTGGTGGCCTCACAACTGGATCTCGAATGCCGAGCTCCATCGTCGATGTCATCAGAAGCCGATAGCAACAGAAATTCGAGAGCGAAAGTGGAGGTGGGTCGGCCACACACTTCGACGGGGCGGAAACGAAATCTGCAAGCAAGCGCTGGATTGGAATCCGGCAGGACATCGCAGCAGAGGCAGACCCAGGGGCTCATGGCGGCGGAGCCTCAATAAGGAAATTAAGCAAGTCGATAGGAATCTGACCTGGGCCCAGGTCAAGGCAAAAGCGAGCAGCCGCCCAGGATGGAAGTCTTTCACGTTGGCCCTTTGCACCCTGCTGGTGGTGCACAGGACCCTTAAGTAAGTAAGTAATCAAATTTTAACCAAAAGTTAAAATAATCCACCAAATGGTTCAGAGCCTAAAAATGTTATGGTTAATTTGCTTAACGACGTGTTCGGGATATCATCAAAACTATTTGTGGAATAGTTCAATCATTTGGTTTATCGTTCGTGTATGGTAATTTTTTATTAGGGTAATCGATAACTTTCCAGCTGTCAAATTTTAACCAAAAGTTAAAAAAAAAAACGCCAAATGGTTCAGAGCCTCAGTAAGCGCTCAACTTCCGAGCATAGCAGACGCGTTCTCGCTAGTGCTTGACAACGGAAGTCGAACGCAGACTATTTTTCTAAAGTTTTTTTTTCTCGGATGGAGTACACGGTAAATTGCAACAACTCAAAATTGAGTCGAACATGCTCATTTTAGCAAGAGTAGGCGCACTTTTACTCACTGTTGAGTAAACGACGTTCTCGCACAGAGTGAGTCAAAACCACTCTGTGTTATTTTCAGCCGGGAAGTTTGTTTTTTTATTTGTTTCGATAAAAAATGGAAATTACCTGCTCCAGATTAATTTAACTGAAGCTGAAGACGATTGAAAACCGTCTCCGCATGCAATTCCTACTTACCATAATACATTTCGGCCGGTGTGATACAATAATTTCGCCGTTTCTTAGAGCATTTGCTCCGACACGGCTGGCATTTTTTCTCGGACTTGGCTGACTGAGTGGCTTTTACTCAGTTTGACATTTCTCGTTTACTCAGATTTTGACAACCTAATGCATCAGACGGAATTGAGTACGATCGACTCACCCGGTGAGTAAGCTGAAGTAACCGCGTGGTAGTTATACAGGCACCGTTGGGCCTATCGTGTTTGTTTTTCGTAAACGCGGTACCGGCTTCGCCATGAATCGGCGCGAAAACACCTTTCGTATCGATTATGCGAAGGTGCCTAAAAACGCTAAAAACCAACGTATGAAAAGCTTCTTCTATTCATTGCTAGTATGTAAGGGAATTTACGTATTCTCGTCAATCTAAGCAGCTTCCGCACTTCTATTAGCATTTTCTCAGTGTCACGACCACATATGACGTGTCTGTTTGTTTACATTCATCTGCTGCTAGCTATTCTATCCATTCCAATCAACAAAACCGTCCAAAACGGTTTGAAAACGTTTTTAACGCGCTCCAAACTTCTCAGGTGAGTGTGACTATTGTCGGCAGCCTCTTTTACTTCGGCAACCTTTCCGTTTAAACTGCGTGTTAACCAGCTGTTCTATTATCGGCAACTCGAAATCAGCCGTATTTTGATGTGCTTATGTTTCTTTTGAAGAAACACCTAGCATAACAGGTTTGCTCAGTCGTAAAAATGTATTAGGATTGAAGCTGAAAGACTAAGGAATCGTTTAAATACATTCAGCGAAGTATTTTAGTGAGAAAATACATCGAAATTAACGTTTAAATTGTGGTTGCCGAAAACAGTCGATGGCTGCCGAAGCCATAATTTACCCTACATACATACATAGTTACCTTCTTGGATTCGGTATCTGACTAACTGCAACTTCTGAGACCGCCTTGCACTCCTTTTGTGTGTTTATTCTTTGTATTCGTCCTTCCTTGACCGATGTGGCTGTAAACCCAACAAACAATCGTCTATTGAAGAAATGACTTGTTGGCCATTTTATTCAACTGCATGCTTAATAGTACTTGTACTATTTTTAATAATAACTTCTGTTCAGGCGTTGTTCACACAAATCTGGAGAATTTATTCAACCACAACATTGAACTACTGGTGTTGTATAAGGTATGTCGAGAAGCTTTTATTCGACTTCTATGAGTTGTAACAGAGTTTATGCGATAAAATTTTTGATTATTCAGCGTTTATTAGACATCACTGCTTCCATAAAACAGTGATGCTCTGTATACGCTTGATTCTCATGTGAAGTAACGTTTAATTAGACATTATTATACATTTGTTAAACGATTATTCAACTGAGGGAAAATTAACCCGAAAATAAGAGGGACGGGACAGGGAAGGGTGTTTTTTTTTTTTTTTTTTTTTTTTTTTTTTTTTTTTTTTTTTTTTTTTTTATACAGGGGGGAATCTGCTCACAGACACCTGAGAAGGAACTCAGGGTGTGGGGATGGGAGAATTTCACTCCCGACCCACTAAACCTTACCCTGTGCGCTTGGCCCTTGGCCTCCCCGGAACCGCCCGAAGGCATTACTTCGTGGGAGGGGCGCACGGTTTCATCTGAGCTATCCTAGAATTCATCATATGGGCAACTCAATAATCAATAAAAGCTTGCATGAAAGTAAATACCTATCAGCACTCCCGATCGCAACTCTAGCTCCTTCAAGGCCCTGTGGGAATGATTAATTCATTCATCGTTGTTTTAAATGAGACCAATGTTGCCTCTTCACATCTCCAAGTCGAAACAAAGGATGCTCGGTTATTTTTTAAACTAGACCAATCCATTCATTATCGTGAGTCATGTGATCGATGATTACTATATTCAAAAGCAGTTTCTATTGTATGCACTCCGCAAGTTAGGTTGGACTGTATTTCCTCTGCCATCTTACATAGCTCGGTGTATGCTCATAAATATCAAAACATTAAAAGAGCGTCGTGAATTTGCTATGATTTCTTTCGTAAACTATATCGTATCACATCGAATTGATTCAATAGAACTATTGTCATCCTTAAATGTATATACACCATCTAGGCATTTACGAAATAGAAATATATTTGCTACAAATCGTCACCGTACGAATTATGCCAAATTTGGACCCTTGAACCAAATGATGGATACATATAATAAGCACATAACATTGACTTTACAATGACAAAAACCAAATTAAAGCAATATTTTAATTACTCGCATAACTTCAGCTAGAAGTAATGTTTTAACTTGCTCTCAAGACATATTATAAAAAAATATATACAAAGACAAAATTTCAAACATAGTTCTTAAGACAACAATTGTAAAACGGTCTACACTGATTGACGACAAATAAAATAAATAAATAAATAAATAAAATAAATAAATAAATTAATTATGTTCTACACAAATAAAAAAGAAGGGTTGAGCTTGGGATTGAACTCACGACCTTCTAATTGGAAAGCGGAAACGATAACCACTACTCTACTGATTTCGCCTTGTTGTAAGACTGAATCAGTGTTGTCGAATAATGAATCTAATACGTCGTTTATGAAGCATTTACAAATCATGTGATTGCTACATGGACGCATAGTGGTATAAGAGCTATTATGCTGACTGTATTCACCTTTCTTCGGCAATATTCTAAAGCAATGCAATGAAATCTAATAATGGAGCTTGAAAATATTTATTAGGCGTCTAATAAAGCATGTTATTAAATCAATTGAAAACAGTCGAATTAAAGTGTCAATGTATGTACAAATTACACTTATACAGTTTGTTATTAGATCGAACTTCTGGCGTTGAATTGGGAAGACATTTAACACTTTTACAGCTTTTAATCAGTAACTTAATCAGATCAGAGCAAACAGTTGAATAAATGTGCATCTATCAATCTCAATGAGCTTTTTCAGCACATAATTCGACAACTCTTTTTATTCAGCATTGTACACTTTTATACAGCATTTATTCAATATATATGCTTATTTGTGACTCTGAATTGTTTTTTGGGTGGTATAAGAGCTATTTTGCTGAGTGTATTCACCCTTATACAGCAATATTGTAAAGCAATGCAATGAAATCTAATAATGGAGCTAGAAAACATTTATAAGACGTTTAATAAATCATTTAATTCAATCAATTGAAAATAGTCGAATAAAAGCGACAATGTATGTGCAAATTACACTTATTCAGTTTGTTATTATATCAAACTTCTGGTTCTGAATAAGGAAGACAGTCAACGTTTATAAAACTTTTAATAAGGAAATTAATCATATCAGAGCAAACGGCGCATCTATCAATCTCAATGAGCTTTTTTCAGCACATAATTCGACATCCTGTTTTATTCAGCATTGTACACTGTTATACAGCATTTATTCAATGTGTATGCTTATTTGTGACTTTGAATTGTTTGTTGGGAAGCTATGTCCATTTAGAATCCGGAATAATAAAATCAACTGTATCTCGGTAACGGATTGACGTACAAATATGGTTAATACATTAAAACAAAGGTAATTCACTGTACTTTTAGAAAAAAATATATCAATATCATTTCTCTTTGTTTCTAATGAAAATTCACACTTTCTTCTTTATTCCTCCCATCAAACGCTGCACACCTCCGGAGTCAAGTTCCTTCGCACATTTGTTCCACACTTTGGTCATCTGAATCGCGTCCCGAGCCGTTTTTCCACTTTTCTTAAGCTTCCGCTTCATTATTGCCCAAAATCTCTCGATGGGCCGGAACTGCGGGCAGTTGGGTGGATTTATGTTTTTATCGATGAAATCTACGTTATGACTTCCCGGCTGTAGTGGCAACTCGCCAAATCTGGCCAAAACTTCACGGGACCTTTATGGACTTTGATGAAAGGTAGTACGCGGTTTTTGAGGCATTCTTCCTTGTACAGCTTCGAGTCCATCGTCTTATTCGTCACGAACACTTTGGTCTTTGCTCCGCAACTGCATATCCGTTGCCAAATCATCAGTTTTTGCAGGAACATCTCCTCGTGCCGTCGCCATGAAGAATTTTTGGCCAGGAAGCTGTCCGAAATCCATTTTGACGTAGGTTTCATCGTCGATGAGCAGGCATCCTTGGTACTTCGTCAAAACATGCTGGTAAAATTTCCGAGCTCGAGTTTTGGTGACGAAACTTTGCTTCAACGTTCTGTTTGGTTGCTTGCTGGCTCGATAAGAACGATATCCTGCTCGCAAACGAATTCTTCGAACGGTACTGCGAGCAGCAGCGTATTTTTGTGCGATTTCATTATCTGATAGTCCAGGGTTTGCTCTGACGGTTTTGGTTCAGCTTGCGGTCATATGTTCCACTACGACGCTTACCTTGAGGCACTCGATCCACGCTCTTTCGCTCACTGAAACGTTTGAGCACATACACGGTTGATTTGGCGATTTTCAACGTTTTTGCGATTTTTATTGCGGACCACGTTGGATTATCAACGTGGGTGTGCAGAATTTTTTCTCTCCTCTCGGTTTTCATCTGGAATAATTGTTGACTCACTGCACGAAACACCGTGAAATTTATACCACAGAAAGTGGGCGCCTAAAGGGTGTCCACGATGAAATTGCCACACACAAAATTGATTCGCAAAATTCGAGTTTTCATCCGATTACCATCACATTTTCAGGGATTGAGAAATAACTATTAAACTTCATTTTACCATTTTACTCGTATTTTATTTACAGTCCATACGCAAATGCCCACACCTTGGCCTTAACCCCGGCCATAAGATTCTGCACAACCTGTGAATCAACCGTTTTTTGCATGTAAACCCATACTTTCTTCAGTTCCTCGACTGTCTTCACTACCTTAGGTCGTTTAAGAAGGTGCTGCTTCATAATCGCCCAGTACTTCTCGATGGGGCGGAGCTCCGGAGTGTTGGGAGGGTTGAACATTTTCGGCACGAAATTGACCTTATTGTCCGCATACCACTTCAGCACGTCCTTGGAGTAGTATGAGTAGCATGAGGCCAAATCCGGCCAGAAGATTGTTGGGACGTTGTGGGCCTTCAGGAGAGGAAGCAGCCGCTTCTGGAGGCACTCTTTTATGTACACCTGTCCGTTCATCGTGTCCTGGGTCACGAAAGGTGCACTCCGCTTCCCGCACGTGCAGATGGCTTGCCAAACCAGGAATTTCTTCGCAAATTTGGACATCTTCTGAGTGCGGACATGCTCCGGAACGCTGAACTTATCCTTGGCTGTGAAAAACAGGTTGCCGGGGATCTGTTTGAAGTCGGCCTTCACATATGTTTCGTCGTCCATGATGCAGCATTCAACTTTCGTCAGCATGTTGAGGTACAACTTCCTGGCACGGGTTTTGGCGGACTTGTTCTGCTTCTCGTCGCGATTAGGGGCCTTTTGTACCTTGAACGTTCGAAGCCCAGCCTTAGTTTTGGCCTTCTGGACAAAACTTCGGCTTAGGTGCAGCTTCTTAGCCACATCCCTAACGGAGGCGTTCGGATTTCGGTTGAAGGCCCCAACTACGCGGCTTCCGATCGGTGGTCAACCGTTCCTCGAACCGCTTAATCACTCGCGACACCGCGGAATTCGCGATTCCCAACGTTTTAGCGATGGAACGATGCGAGAGATACTTGTTCTCGTGATGAATGCGCAAGATTTTATCACGCACGAGCTGTTCTTTCGACTCCATTTCCGCGAGTTTTGATCACAGGACTTCAAAACTTGCAGGATGTAAATAATGCACTATGAACTAAATCCACCCAAATTTTCATTAAATTCTACCCAACGGTTAAAAAGTTAGAGCAATTTCATCGTGGACACCCTTTAGGTAAACAAACCGCTGTAAAATAATTCTTGCAGCGGTCACTTTCCGTGCCACTGCAACACAATAAGTGAGTCCGGATTCTAACTGGACAGAACTTTAATTGTTGTAATAGGAATGTTGGGATATGTTCTAGTTAGCAAACTGGATGCACCATTCTGCTTCAAAGATAGTTTCGTCCGAATTGTATTTTTTTTAATATTTTTTTTTTGTTTGCATTTCTGTTTTTAAATAATAGTGTTTTCTTTCGTATTGGCATTCGCTAAACTTCATGCTTGTCTCCTCTGGGTTATTAAATTCAGCAATAAATGAATAAATGTAAAAACAAAATGGAAAATAATAGGAAAAGGAAACGGATGGTGCGCTTAAGCCTAAGAACCAAGAAGAAAACAATTGCAATTAACTAATTAAAAAAGTAGAAAACATCCATTCAATTAATTTAATCTAATATTTTTTTTCCATATTTTTCAGTTTTCTTTTATTCACTAGAATGTATTTTTGTTTTGCATAAATTCAATAGTATTCCATTTGTCCTTCCTAAGAGATACTTGTATTTTGTTTTTTTTTTTGTCTAATATACCGCGGTCTTTACAGTGTTTTCTTTTGTTGTATAGTTCCAGCTAACTTCATAGAATACGACTAAAATGATTACGTTACGATACGATGTGTTTGTTTCTATAGTCTGTGTATGTGTGTGTTGTCAGTTAAAATTACCAACTAAGTTTGCTTTTACCTATTTAAGAATATTTTTTTCTGTTTGTCTGTACCTAGACGATCATCCCTAATCAATTGAACTAACTATTTCACGACATTACTCTTTTATTGGTTTACTTGTTGTATGTCTTCTATAATTTTCTGTTAATGGTTTTCAGCTCAATGATACTTTTTATTTCTTCTTAAAATAGGCTGATGTATCTACATCCTAGAAAATGTTTTGTTATTTTCGTTAACCTCTTTGAGATACATTCGACCGTTAAGCCGGTTAAGCCTATGTTGGTTGGTCTCTGTCCTACTTCTTTTTTTCCTTTATTCCATGCACACAAACACTTCTCCGATGAGCCCCAGACAGGAACCGGATTTTTCTTCAGTTTTGAGTTCCAGGTTTGGTCACTAGTTTACCTATATTTGTTTTCTTCTATTAACTATTTACAAGGTCCAATAAATGGTACCACATTCTACACGAAACGAAAGAATATAAAAAAAAAATGGTCCACACTCACACTGTTTATGTCTACAACATGCCTAATAGGGATTTAACTATATGTATACTCGATCACACGCTAACTGATCTAATGTCCTAGGTATTTATGTTCAATAATTTATCAAGGAGAATAACAAAGGGGAGGGGAATAATAGAGCAGATTGAGGAAACTACTATTTGTGGTGCTTTACCGTTCTCTTTGTGTGTGTGTTAGTTCCATGTTCAGCTCAGTTTTTCTTCTGTGTTCCACTGCTGCGCTGATATGGATGATATTTTAAGGCAAATATTCCTTCTTAAAAAGGCTTCCTTTTTGTGTTGTTTTTTTTTTTATCGATAACTACTAACGGTTTTTATCTGGTGTTTAGTCTATTTGATTTCCTGCTGCTTCGTGTTTCATCTTGTTGCATTCTATCTGTTGGTCTATTTTCTTTCTGTTTTATTTTTTTACATTGGAAGTCTATTTGGAGAGTACAATACAGTTTGGGTTGACAGTAAATGAAAGAATATGCACAGTGATGGATGGTCGATGAATTCCGATGGGGGAAGAATGGTAGTCAGTCGGATGCGATAATTGAGTAGCAATTCTCTTTCAAATCAGGCTTCTATTTGTAGCAGTTTGGAGTCTCAAAAAGGGCCTCTTGAGGTACTTAAACAAGTGTTAAATCCCTCAGAGAACACGAAACAAATTCATTATGATGTTACAATTGTACATCCAGGGTTGGTTGGCTTGATGCTCGGTTGTAACGTGTGTGGAGAGGTTGTAAAACCAAATTGACGGTTAAAACGGTCGCGATAAAAGTCAAAGAGATTTGATTTAACGAAGGCAAATTTCAAGTTTGTCCAACTGGTTACACTGTGTGTGGAGCAGTCGAATAGGGTTGTCCTGCATTACCCCAAATGACCACTGCCCCGAATGAGATTCTGCCTTCTTTTCAATGCTGCTCGTTCTTTTCTCATTTGGGATAATGGAATTCGGGGAAGTGACATTCGGGATAATGTAGCACAATCATATTACATTGAGGCAATACTAAGTAATTCCATAAGAACTTAGGGTAAGAGGGGTATAGTGGACAGGTGGGGTATAATGAGCAGTTACCTAGTAGCACGATTTGATTAAAGAGAATTTTATAGCTTTCCATTCAAGTCCTCCACCAAAAAAGTGGACATCTCGAAGTTTGTTGGTCTTTTCCTGTGAAAACTTTTATTAGTTTCTCTTTCTTTAATCCCAGACTTAAACTGAACTTCATTCATCTTCCAATAACCACTGCACTGATTTCAAAGCGAACTCTACCAACCAATATGGAATATGGAGAATGAGGCTAGAAACTAGAACTACAAACTGAAGAACTAGAAGATACATTTACGGTACACGAATGGTTTACAGGCTACTGCTTGAAACCGGGGCGTTGTTGTTACTCTAATGTTTTTTTTTTTAATCGCGAATAGCACTGTGTGACTTTTATCCCAACCAGCTTCCTGCGCGATTGCCTTGTATTTTTTTCTATCTCTGAGTTCAGTAAAAAAATGGTGTACCTGTACTTTACTGGAGTAAAAAGAGAAATCCATGTTGGTGCCTATTTGTTCCTATTCAAATGTCTCTGTGTGTTTTTTTAGTATTCCTATCGGTCTGCCCGTCTTCAGCGGCTCCTGTGGGTTTGCCTTAGATTTCGTTAACAAACATCTCTAATAAGTGCACTTGATGGCTCGCTGCTGGTTGCGCCCCACTATTTTAAGAGAATTTCCTGTCTTTTTTTCTAAGAGATCGATTGAAACAACTAAAGGAAAACGAATGCATAAAGAATAAAGTGAAACAATATATGGTACAATAATGGTTTGTGTAGATAATAGTCCTCAAGGGAAAGAGAATTGGTTCGAAACAAACGGTTTCTTATTAATATACATAGCTTACAACCTGCCGCATCCGCTTGGGTCTGTGGAAGCTCATTTCGAAGTCCATTCGCCGTTTGCGAATTTTTCCCAACGGGTTGATCGTAAAGCTGAGGCAGATTGATTTCCGTCGGCTTGCTCGGTTCAGTTCCGTCTCATCGAAACCCCGGAAGATGAATTCTTCGAACCCGAATTCCAACGGTTCGGCATCGATTGAAGCTCGCAGCCCGATAACCAGCGATTCCCTCGAACAGGACGACAGATTAGGATCGAATTGTTCTACTGAATCGACGAAGGCAGGTTCGTGGTCATCATCGTCAGCTTCTTCCTGAACGACTTCGTCAGGCTGATGTTGACCCTTGAATGGTTTGGTCATATTTTCGAGCACCAGAGGAATGGTAGTACTGCTCGTATCACTAGCAGTGGAGTTGCTTCTTCTCCGCACCTGTTTCTCCGGTTCTTCTTCGTCTTCCTCCGGCTGTGGCTTTTGATGATGCTTTTTCATCTGCTCCATCTCGGCTTTGTGCTCTTCAACAACCTCCTCAAGATCTGCCAATAGGTCATCGATCTCTTCATCGCCATCCAGCTCATCGTCGTCTTCATCTTCCGGCGCACTTGTTGGCGCTTTCCTTTCCACTTCGTTCAGGTCATTGTTATTGCTTTCACTAGAATCCTCCTGTTTCTGCTTCTCCTCTTTCTGACCCACAAGCTCTTTCTCCTCGAAGTGATGATCGCTATCGCCGGCTTCGTCTATCAGAACCACCTCGGAACCATTCGTCGAGACACTGATCGTTCGGTGTCCGTTGTTGTCCGAGATGGAACTGCTCTTGCTGGACTTGCTTCGTCCAATTCCACTCGACGTGCTCTCCTCCATCGAGCTACTGTACTGGCTTTCGGTCGATTTTTTCGATTTGGCCCCATTGGTGCGTCGCTGGTTTGCTGTAGCCGTCCGGCTAACCTCCCGCAATCGGAAACCTTCCTCTTCCGCTCGCCTAAATGCATCGTAGGTATTCTTCACGTTCGCTTCCAACTGCTGCAAGCTTTGTTCCGGATAGATCATCTTCAACTGTCGTCGCACGCCGGCCGTCCGGTTCAGATCTAACCACTCATGGACCATCAATTGCTCCATCGTTATCCGCCGATCCGGATCAACCGTCAGCAGTCGTTTTACTAAGTCTTTGGCCTCTTCACTCACGCACATCCACGCCGACGATGTCAGATCAAACGAACCCCGCCGGATTTTGTCCATTATGATTTCCATCTGTTTCGCCGACGACGCCAGATTTGTGTGCCCGAAAAATTGCCGCGGCGTAAACGGAGCCTGTCCGCACAACATCGTGTACAGTATCACACCCAGAGACCACAGATCACTGGATTCCAGCGCGTACGATCGTCCCTCGAACACTTCCGGTGCCGTATAACCCAGCGTGCCAGCGATCGGTGACGACTCCAGGCAGTTGTTGTTCTCTATGCTTCTGGCGAAACTGAAATCTATCAGTTTCAGATGCTCCGAGTTAGGCCCCTCGAAGAGCACATTCTCCGGCTTGAGATCACAATGAGCGATGCCTTTCTGGTGCATGTAAGCCACCGCCTGCACCATCTGGCGGAAGTAGTGCCGAGCTTGGCTGTCGGTAAAGCTGCTACTCTTGTTTATCCTATGCAGCAGTTCACCGCCGTCCAGCAGTTCCAGTACGATGTAGATGTGATGGGAGTCTTTGAGGGCTTCGACAAACTTAACAATATTGGGATGACCTTGGCACGCTTTCAGTGCTTCGACCTCCTGCCGGGCGTAGGCCGCCGGTTCCGAATGGTTGAACAGCACTTTGACTGCGTAGTAATTGCTACTTTTACTACTATAACTGCTGCTATTGCTTCTGCTGCTGTGGTTGGAACCGGAGGAAGAGGAGGACAGTCGGCGGCATTTGAGACAGGTGGAGAACAAACCGTCGCCGATGGCCCGATCCGGTAGAAGTTCGTACTTTTTGTAGAATTGAGAGCTCTGAAAAAAGAGGGAAAATGCATAGTGATTAAATTTAGCCAAGCGACCAATCCAGGGGGACAAAGAGACGACTCTTTGGAAGGAGCAGACCAAGGAGTTGACCAATACTGAACGTTGAAATGTTGTCACATCCATGGTGGGTATATACATGGTGATACAGCTTTGTCACTATATGGGCGAGGAGATCGCGGGGGGAAAAAGTGCGGTTTTAGTGCAAATTGTAAACAAACTCGGTCGCTGTTCCATACAAATATCCAACATGGCTGAATCATGAATTTGACACGTTAGAACACCTATATGTAGTCATCTTGGTCACATCTAATTCAAATGCTCTTGCACTCAGCGGTGCCAGATATACAGATATGTCTGTATTTATACAGATATTTGAGGTTTCGTACAGACCCAATACAGACTACAGACATTATACAGATATTTGAAAATTAATACAGATTTTGTACAGATTTTTACCAATTGGTTCCTGAAATTTAGCATAAAATAAACAAAATTATTTTCGAAATTTGAACAGCTTCAAGCAATTATGGACTTGAAACCATTGAAAATGCTCCACCCGGCTGCCACACGCTGGTTGTCATTAGAGCAAGTGGTGAAACGGATGCTAGAAAGACTTCCAGCACTCAGAGTATACTTAAATTATACTAATTCGTATGTGGACTTGGATAAGGTTCCAAAGGGTGACATCAAGATCTACACTGGCGACTTCAATGCGAAGATCGGCTCCGACAACACGGACTATGAGCGTGTCATGGGACGCCATGGCGAAATGAGCGAGAACGGTGAGCTGTTTGCAGAATTTTGTGGCAATAACGACATGGTGATCGGGGGCTCGCTCTTCCCCCATCGGCCAGTGCACATAGTCACGTGGGTTTCCCGTGATGGACATACCGAGAATCAGATCGACCACATTTGCATCAGCCGAAAATGGAGACGGAGCCTTCTTGATGTCCGGAATAAACGCAGCGCCGACATCGCGTCTGACCATCACCTTCTAATCGGTGAAATCCGCCTACGCATGGCGCGGATTCAGCGACGGGAGGAGAGACTCGGGCGGCGGTTCAACACACGCCGACTTGAAGATCCAGCGGTAAAAAGGTCTTTTGTTCATGAACTTGAGACCCGAGCTGCGGACGTTCCAGAAGGTGGCAGCGTAGAAGAACAATGGACGGCCATCAAGAATGCCTTTATAGAAACAAGCGAGAACAACTTGGGTGAGCTGCGCACCCAGAGGAAAGAGTGGATCACAGATGAAACCTGGCGGAAGATTGAGGAGCGTAGAGAAGTAAAAGCCGCGATAGAGCGGGCGAGAACCAGAGGAGCCAAGAACGAAGCCCGTCAACGGTACTCGGCTCTAGAGAAGGAAGTCAAGCGCTCTTGCAGACGGGACAAGCGAGCGTGGGTGAACTCCCTGGCCGACGAAGGGGAGAAAGCCGCAAACACTGGCGATATACGCCTCCTCTACGATATCTCACGACGCCTGAGTGGAGCAATGATGAACCCGAGGATGCCAGTGAAGGACACGACTGGACAATTGCTTACCGACCCCACTGACCAGCTGAAACGCTGGTTTGAGCACTTCGAACAACTTCTTCAAGTTTCGACGGCCAACCAGCCATCAACATCTTGGCATGATCCGCCTAGGGTGCGGCGCATCACTCGCGTCAATTCCGAGGCCCCATCACTGCAGGAGATTGAAGCAGCTATCCGAAACATGAAATCCAACAAGGCTCCAGGGGTCGATCGCATATCAGCAGAGATGCTCAAAGCTGACCCCATGCTATCCGCACAAATGTTGCATCAACTATTCTGTAATATCTGGGACACCGCGACTTTTCCGGCCGACTGGATGCAGGGCATCTTAGTGAAGGTCCCAAAGAAGGGGGATCTGACTGTGTGCGACAATTAGCGAGGCATCATGTTACTGTGTATTGTTCTCAAAGTTCTGTGCAAAGTTATCCTGAATCGGATACAGAAGAAGATCGACGCCACTCTCCGACGGTAGCAGGCAGGATTCCGTGCCGGAAGATCTTGTGTGGACCATATTGTCACGCTCCGCATCATCCTGGAGCAGGTCAATGAATTCCAAGAGTCCTTTTATTTGGTATTCATTGACTACGAAAAAGCTTTCGACCGTCTCAATCACGAGAATCTGTGGGGCGCCCTGAGACGCAAGGGAGTCCCGGATAAAATCATCAACCTCATCGAAGCGCAGTATGAGGCTTTCACGTGCAGAGTTCTGCATAACGGAGCCTTGTCCGACCCTATCCGGGTAGTCGCTGGTGTGAGACAAGGATGTATACTATCACCGCTACTGTTTCTCATCGTAATCGACGAGATCATGGTAGGTGCAATTGACCGTGTACCGAACCGTGGGCTGCTTTGGCAGCCTATCACCATGGAGCATCTCAACGACTTCGATTTGGTTGATGATGTTGCTCTACCAGCACAACGGCGCTCTGATATGCAGAGTAAGCTCAATGACCTAGCCGAACGCTCCTCTGCGGCGGGTCTCACCATCAACGTCAACAAGACCAAATCGTTGGATATCAACACGGGCAACCCTTCCAACTTTACGGTAGCGGGGCAAGCAGTGGAGAAGGTCGAAAGTTTCCAATATCTTGGCAGCCAAATAGCGTCGGACGGCGGGACCAAGAGCGACATAGGTGCACGAATCAAGAAGGCTAGATCCAACCAGATAAGTCAACGCACCAAAATCCGAATTTTCAACTCGAACGTGAAATCTGTGTTGTTATACGCCAGCGAGACGTGGTGTGTATCAGCGGAGAACACTCAAAAGCTGCAGGTCTTCATCAACCGATGCCTGCGGTATATAATTGGTGCCTGGTGGCCTCACAACTGGATCTCGAATGCCGAGCTCCATCGTCGATGTCATCAGAAGCCGATAGCAACAGAAATTCGAGAGCGAAAATGGAGGTGGGTCGGCCACACACTTCGACGGGGCGGAAACGAAATCTGCAAGCAAGCGCTGGATTGGAATCCAGCAGGACATCGCAGCAGAGGCATACACAGGGGCTCATGGCGGCGGAGCCTCAATAAGGAAATTAAGCAAGTCGATAGAAATCTGACCTGGGCCCAGGTCAAGGCAAAAGCGAGCAGCCGCCCAGGATGGAAGTCTTTCACGTTGGCCCTTTGCACCGCTGGTGGTGCGCAGGACCCTTAAGTAAGTAAGTAAGTATGTGGACTTGATGCCGAGAAGATGAAAGAAATCAGTGGTATCTTGGAGAACCCCATGACGGAGCTTTGCTTGAGGTTTTTGGAATTTTTTCTACCAAAAGTTTGTTTATTTGTTTATTTGTTATGGTTGCATCAACCGACTAGAAATAGTCCCAATGATGTGTTGTAAAAAAGTACAGATTATACATTGACTACATTGCGAAGCTTGAAGACCTGGGTTCGTTAATTTTGCAACCCAGAAACTACTGTGGAAAAGGTTTATATGGGTACTCGCGTACAAAAACATTTGGATGATGTTTTCTCATCCAATAGCATCAAGCTTGAGGATGTTCATCACTTCAGAACAATGGCGATGAACCTCTACATAACGCTAGTAAATCAAATCGGGAAACGTATCAATATGGATGATATGATTCTCGTAAACCATTGCCTGGTTTTTGAGGTGTTATTTAGTAATTTCGAATTCGTTGATAACATTTGGGAACATCCGCGTTTTATTTTTGAGATTTTTTGGGTCAATGCATAAAAGCAATGCACACCGCAAAAACCTAATAATAGATCAGCGCGGTCGAGTCACACCGTCAACAAAGGGAGCGAGAGCACTCCAGGCACCAAAGCAACAGGGGAAAAACATCAGCACAAATCATTCTAAATCGAATTATCGCGTCCGGGACACAAAACTATTCAAATGCGAGCACCGAAAAACTACACGGCAGCACAAAGATAGCCCGAGCTCTAAAAAAAGCACGCAGCGGAGCAAAAACACACAACCGTTCTCGGCTGCTTCTCAAAGCGGACTGGAGCGAAATTCGTTCAGTGTACATAAACAAATAATGTTAAATTTTAAATTTCTTCAGTTTTCATGTCTTCTATCATTTTTCCTCATCGATCTGTTCGTTTTCAATCGCCTGGTTGATAGCTTGTTTGGTGAATTTATTGAAAACCGTCATGGAAAAATACTTTTAGAAAGTATTATTTGGAAGAACCATAGGTAGGTTGATAAACATATTTTGAAAACCAAAGAGCTGACATCAAAATTTTATTTTCAATTATGCTGTAATGTTGTTCGTTTCTGTTCCGTGCCGTGATGTCGTTGTCAATACTACACCTAATGACACCTTCCAAAGCGATGATAATGGTGATAAACAGCAGACACGAAAGCTCTATTGCTGTAACGGCAACTTGGAGATTTCACTACCGATTCGCACGATTGTGCAGCATAGGTCGCAGCTTAAACCAAGGCCGAACAATCATCCATGTCAAATCGGCACGCAGTAAGGTGCACTACATGCAGGATTACAACATTCTTATAACTCAAATCATTTTTTTCTTTTACAGAATAAGCCGAATATTACTGTTGTCCATGGAGGAGATTCCATCCCGTGTGTCCATGTAAGAATAAACGGGATCCTCAGAACCAGAACCAGAACTGGTATCAGACTCGGTGTATTTTACTACTTCTGAGCCAGTTGCACGACCGGACTAAAGCTACAATGCCACGTCTAACTCTTCGACTCGACTTCGAGGGGCGTCCGGTGTAGCGTGGCATTTCAATAATAGAAACCGGAAACCTGGTTCACGAGAGTCAACAGCAACAGTAACTTGCAGAACAGAAGCTTCAGTACGTGCTTAAAGTCGGAAATTGGGGAGAGCTTTGAAGACTTGGATGAATCAGTGTCACGTGAATCTCTTTCGGTCGACATCTAGGAGCTACTTGTCCTGCATGATATTCCAATCGTGCATATTTCCAATCCCATGTTAGTTAGATTAATGATGAGTGGTTACCCGAG